ATAAAAATCGCATACAGATGCGACTTACAGCGTTCGAAAGCGTGAATTTTTACTTTGAAATGATAAATTACAATAAAATTTTGCAAAAGCATTTACAATTTAGTCTTTACTTTTTATATCGACTTTAAAGAACGTTTTGCTAATCTTTTACGAAGTTATAAGGAAATAACAATGCGACAAACTTTGTTACGAATTTTGCAAAGCTCCTCGATATGAATTAAAAATCACACACAAATGCAGATTACAGTATTTGAAAGCGTATATCTTTATCTTTAATTTGCGTACTCGTTGAGCATGTTGCGATTTTTTGCCACCGAGTTATTCAATGTTGAAGCATAAGGACCATTTTTACTTCAATGAATAACTCAGTGAAAAAAATCGCATAATACTCAACGAGTGTGCAAATGAAAGCTAAAGATTCACGCTTTCAAAAAATGTAAACTGCTTTTATGTGCGATTTTTAATTTAGATTATGGAACATTGCAAAATTTGGAGAATATTTTGATATTTTACAGATCTTTTTTACGAATTTTGCAAAGATTCATAGAGTGAAATCAAAATCGCATACAAATGCAACTTACAGAGTTCAAAAGAGTGAATCTTTACCTTTAATTTGCACACTCTATCAGCATCGTGCGATTTTATTTTACCGAGTTATTCAATACGAAAGCGAAAATAATCTTTTTTACTTTAATGTTGAGTAACTCGATGAAAAAAATCACACAATGCTGATCGAGTATGCAAATTAAAGGTAAAGATTCATACTTTCGAACACTGTAAGTCGTATTTGTATGCAATTTTTATTTCACTTCATGGAACTTCGTAAATTCAGTAAAAAATTTTTAGATTTGATGCATCTCCATTTGCATCCGTGCAGCTTTGTAAAGAATCAGTAAGTCATTTAATGAATTATGGATGTCGAAAGTAGAGACTTTAGGCTGTGAAAAATGCTTTTTTGATCAATCTATGATTATTTTTGACGAAATTACACTCTCTTGAAAATGGCCTATTTTTAGCGATCAGAATAGGTGATCCTTTAATTTTGGCGCGAAGTATACATATTCAACATAATAGAAATTTAGAGATATTATTTATAATGACAAACAAACATGTTGATTATTGTCATCAGTTTTAATTTATGTTGAACAAAAAGAGCTTGAATAATGATAAAAAATTGTAACGTGAGATCGATTTGTGATAAAAAGTTACTTGTATTTAATCGTTACTTGTCTCGCTCATGCGGTGATATAATACACATACTAGGATAACTCCAGTATATACGCCGCATCTATTAAAATCTTAATTTATGAGATATTATTAATTATGTTTAAGGTAAAATGAATTATATCAGTAAAAATTTTAAACTGTTTGCTATACTATGAAAAAAATATTAGGAATCCAAAATATTTATTTTTTATATTAAAAAAAATTTTTTAAACTCTTGCATTTTTGCCGTATAAAAATAGGGATTATATACGGCTACTCACGGGTGATATAAAGTCCTTAAAAAATATACATATAATAATCTAAATAATAATAGTAAATAACACGTGACGTGACAACGTAATTTACTTATTAATAAATAAATAAAGAACATTTTATCACAGAATATTATCACAGAATATTTATCATGAATAAGTACATATACATATAAATATTTACATACATGAATATTATGATTAATGTATTATAAAGGGCGTGTTATCACGTATTATCATGGGCGTCCGCAGGCGGGAAGGGTAGAAGAGTCATTTCTCCCTCCCCCCTCCCTACCTGGAATCAGACAAGTTCAAGACAATTCAGAATTTGCTCTCATTTTTACAAATAATAAATATGTTTGTCAAATGTGAGAAAGCTCAAGTACAACACGGGTACACAATGTTCGGACATTTGCTCCTCGCGGTAGTTCGTACTAAAAATTTGGATCGTGCCCCATTCTAAAAAAAATCCTGCCGACGCCCTTGTGTATTATTATTTACTTTTACATTTATAAATAAATAATAGAACGTCTGTACTACGGCATAAACCCCATGCGTTAAAAGTGCTGTATATCCCAAACAGACGGGATACACGAGACAATAAATTAAATAAAGAGTACAAAAGCTAAGCGCTTGTATTTTTCTATACTCTATCCTTTACTATTTCTTTAAACTTATGTATTACGAAATAACTACGAAGCCTTTTACATTTCCTACAATAATTTTATGTATGTTAAAACTTATGGTTGCACTAC